TCATTTAATTTTGTTTGTAAATTTTTTTTTTTTTTTTTTTTTTTTTCATTTTTTAATATTTTATAATTAAATGAGCATTATGAGTCGTGCACTTTTGGATTTTCCAAACTTTTTTTCAATTTTTGAAGATCTCCCTTCGGTTCAAATTCAGGTGCGTTTTCTTAGAAGTTATTGCAATTTTTAATTTGTCAAAACCATGAAGAGTAGAGGTCTCTATTCTCCATGTTTGACACTTTCAAAACTATAATATACTTAAATCTTTAGAATCATGACTTCTTTTTCTGAGGACAAGAATTTTGACTCAGACGGAGGAATGAAATTGGCATTACCTTAAAGGACTACAAACACATCTATAGTATTGGACATTTCCGTATAACCTTTAAATTTACAATTCAAAATAAATATGTAAGTAAAATAATATTTTTTAACAAAAAAAAAAAAATTATTTTTAAGTTAATTATATTTAATTTTTTTTCAGGCTGTCTTTAATCTATTTGTACATTATCTTTTTTTTATATTGCTGTTAATTTTTGACTGATAATTGTTTGATACGTACAATTGCAACTACTAAGTTAGTTAACATGTATAAAAATTTTTAGAATTTTTTTTTATTGAAAAAATTATTAACAAAAAATTTAAAAAATTTCATTTGTAAAAAACTTGAAAAACTTTGAATGCAATTTTCAAAAAATGTTTTTTAGTTCTAATTTAATAAATGAAAAAAAAAAAATCAAAAAAGTCGACTAACTTTAGTATTATGAAATGATAACATTATTGATAATTGATGTAAAATGAAGAGTATTTCTTCAGTGATATTAAATAATGATACTGAAATTAGCGGGCGTTAAAAAAATAAAATTTTTTTTGTTTAATTAATTTATAACTAAAAAAATATTCTTAACAAACACTGCACGCGTTGTTTTTCAAAGTTTTTATAAGTGGAATTTTTTTGTCATAACTTTTTCAATAAGAAAAATTCTCAAAATTATCAGATGTCTGCTAACTTTATTTTAATCATATAAATATGATTAAAATAATAAATCATTACTTTGAGTTTTAAAAGGATTAATGTTTTGTCAAAAGAAAAAAAAAATTAATTGTATCTGATTTTGACAGTAATGATAAATAGTAAAAACTGCAGGGATGGATTTTCCAAAGTCAAGACATTCTAAAAAATCATATCACAACTTTATTGAAAGTAACTCGTTACTTTCTGACCAGCAAATTCGTAAAGATAAAGAATTTTTCTGCGCAATTGTATATGGCAATTTAAAATTAATAGATAAGTATTTACGAAATGGTGCTGATATTAATGCACCGAGTTATTTTCCATCTCCAATATATTTGGCCATCAAGTTAAAAATGTTTCGAGTGGTCAACCATTTATTAAAGCGGGGTGCAAAAATTAACGCTGTACAAACAAGTGGTTTCTATGCAGGATATACAATTTTACACCATGCTTGCGAAGAAAGTGAACAAAAAATAATAAACGCTCTTCTTTTTACATATAACGCCGATCCTAATATAATTGCATCAAATGGAGCTCAGCCTATCCATGTTGCTGTGTTGTTGGGACGTTTGACAGCGGTAAAGTCACTTTTAAGAGTAGGTGCTGATGTTGACGCTAAATTAACCCACTCTTTGTGCGCAAAATATTTGTCTTATTTCAGATCGGAAGAAAGTTACGGTACTGAACAAACTTTATTAACTTACGCAGTCATCAATAGAAACGCTGAGTTAGTAGCGTTGCTGATGAAATACAATGCTAATGTTGACATCTGTAATCATATGAATAAAACGTTGTTGATGTACATAGTGGAAAATAATCTGAAAGAAGTTGGTGTTGCACTTATACCAAGGTTGAAGAAGAAAGAAATTAACAGACGGGATAAAAATGGTTTGACAGCTATTCATTATTTGATCGGCTTAGAAAAAAATACAAGCCGTCGAAAACTTATTGATGATGATATAGCTTTGTTCGTTGAATTACTCTTTCATGCTGGTAGTAATTTTGATGCGACAGTAAATGGAGATCCAAAAACAATGCTCTTCAATTTCGCAGTTGCTAAAAGTTTGTGGAATACTGTGTATTTTTTAGTGTATCATTATTCTTATCAACCACCTCCAGCTGGACTTTTATTATATACTATCCAAGGTGGTGATATTTACAAAAGAAAACCGAAGATGCTGTTCCATGGAAATTGCAGAGCGCAGAATTTATTATACTCTCTACACTCTAGACCTGTATTTAATTTTCCCGTTTACCCAGAATCCGTCGAGTTAATGAAGTCTTTGGTTGAAAAATATCCTGAAATAGAAGATTTTGTTTTGAATGAATGTGAGAAAAAACTTCAGTTTTCAATTTATCGATTTAAACAAACGGTACTATCTTTTGGGGATCAAAAAATCTCGATATATGACATTACAAAAAAAAGTGGTAAAGAACTTTTAATATTAATTCGGAACAAGGAGTTTTTACGAGTTTTTAATAATCCAGTGATTGATAAGCTCTTTTATAGCGATGAAAACTTTCAATTACTTAAAGTTCATGTGAAGAAACTTGAAAAGCGAATTTATTTACTGCGTCGGTATGATCAAATAATGTTTACCGAAAAGGATGCTTGGTGTCACTTGCCTTATGATTGTATTCGTAGTATAATTGATTATATGGATAATTATACTCTAATGAATTTTATTTACACTTATTCAAGATGATAATTTATTAAAATTTTTCTAATTATCTATTTAATTTTTTTAGATAGAAAAAAATTTTAGATATAATTAAGATTAAAAATTGTGATTGATTAATTGATTATAAGATCGATCATCCTCTCCGTCGTCAGTTTGGCAGCTGTGATGCAATTGTTTCAAAATTTTAGCCAATTTATTGAAATCTGAACGATCGAAGTAGAGTTTTCCTAATTTAGTGTTTGTCTTAAACCACAGTCGATCGTTTTTGGCGTCTTTTAGAGCATCGAGAGTTGTTTCATAAAAATCTTGTAACAGTTCCATCTGAAAAAATAGAAATTTTTAATTTAAGCTTTTTTATTATTTTGAATGTAATTAATTGATTATTTAATGTAAGACTTCTTACATTTTTAGAAGTGCTGATGTAATCTAAAATTGAATTGATAGATTTTTCCGAGTGATTTCGCGTCACTGCACTCTTGATGTACGTTAATAACTGCTTGTACCTCGTCATCATTTCCTTGTAATTATTCTAAACAATTAAATAATTAGTTAGTGATTATGATAACATAGAAAAAAAAAATTGATTCTGAATTTAAATTTAAACAATTGATCATTAAAAATGATACTAAACTTAGGAGACATTCAATAATTTTTTTTTAAATTTTTAGAAAAATTAAATTATAATGTAAAGAATTTAGCATGAAAATTCTACACGTAGAAAAAAATTACAAGTCTAAATTTAAAAAAATATTTTTTTTATAATATTTGATTTGTTATGTCTGCTAATTTAAGTATCATTACTGAAAAGGAATGCTTACAAGTTTGAAATTGATTTTGATCATTTGTTTAAGAGCTTTAAAACCCCATTCTCCTTTATCACCAGCTTCGAGGTCCAGAACTTTTTGAAAACTTTGTAATGCTGCTTTTGGATCATCTTCTTTCAGAGATTTACTGTTATAATATTGATTCTCTAAATCAACATCGGGTTCCGAATTTGAATCTTCAGAATATTCCTGCAAAAAAAATTTATTTTTAGAGAAAAATTCTCATAGTGTCTTTAAACAAAAATGAATTAATTCATTAATAATTGTTACAAATAAATTTTTAGCTGTTTTATACAAATAAAACGTCTATTTTTACACAGATGATAACCTAAAAATACGGAAAACGTAAAATTACCGGTAAAATAATTTAATAAAGATTTGTAAAATACTTACGAGACCATAATCTTCTTCCTCTTCACACATAAAATCATCTTCAACATCAGACATTCTACCTATTCAATAAATAATTATCAATAAAAAATTAATATTTACTATCGAAATAACAGCAATGTAAACTTGCGGTAAGAGTATAAACTTTTTGGCCCAACACTACTTTATCTTTATCGAATTCTGTTGTTTCATTCTCGTTCCGCTCATCCTCTTCAAACTCCGCAAGCGCAGTCGATACCAATATGGCTGTCAATAGCGCGAAAAAGTTTGAATATAAATAACACTGAAGTTGACAGACATTAGAAATTTTTTTATAATAATTTTATAGCAATGAAATTATTGAAAAAAATTTAATGAAATTAAAGTTAGCAGTCACTAGAGAATTTTATAATTTTTTTTAACAAAAAAATTTGTTCCAAAAAATTATTTAAAAAAAATTGTATTTTTAATTTTTCAAAATTTCTACATGTCAATTTTTTCTATATTTTTTTTTTTTTGCCATAATTTATTTGTTAAAAAAAATTCTAAAAATTATTAAATATCCGCTAAATTTATCATCATAAAAATTTAATAAAAAAATTCCAAATTTGAAAATTAAAAAAAATTATTAGTGAAAGTTTTTAGAAGCATTTTTATTATTGTAATTGATTTTGGTGTAAAAATATATAATTTAAAAAATTGACAGCTGTTAGCTAGCTTCAGTATAGTGAAAATATAAGGAAAATAACAGAAAAATTTGAGCTTGTAATCAATTAATTAATTGATCCCTTTAATTTTTTTCAATTCTTCAAAATCAACTTCATTAATATTCAGTTTATTAATTTAAAAAATAAAAAAAAAGAAGGAAATAAAGTTTTTATACTTACACTTTTAATTTAAATTCAATTGTTGCTTGGACGGAATTGGAACGTTCAAGATTATAAATACATAAATACGACATCTAGTGAGTAGTTGTCAATTAAAAAATGTTTCATAGGATAAATCTTTCAAAAAAGGTTATAATTAATAATAAATTTCATTTATAAAGGTATTTATTTAATAATTAATAAATGAAATGGAAGTTCAAAACAAAGATATCGATAACGACTTGATTTTGTATGAATTACTGGAGTATTTCGTCAAAAAGCAAGACCCAGAATTAGTCGTAAGTATTATAAATAAACAATGAACATCTGGTATCAATAGCAACCTGTCAAAGTTTAATAATACGTGTCATCATAAAATAATTAATACTGACTGAATACTGACCCTGATTTTAATTTTTCAGCGTTTTAAGAATGACATCGACATCCTTCCCACTACAGGAACCATTAAAAATGCACTACGTTATCTCAATAATAGATACTCACTCCCAGAGAGTATATCACAACAAATAAGTTTAACTTTGCCATGGAAATTTGCCAGCGGTGACAACGGACGACTCCTAGCTATTTTACATGATAATATTTTAGAGATAAGACGTTCCAAAGATGAATTCTCATCAGTTATGGGCAAAGCAACAGGTTCTTATTTAATTCTGTTCAATTAAGTCTTCATTTGCTGTGTTATAAATTTATATAAATTATTATGATACAGAAATTGAGAGACCTGATAATTTTTAGAATTTTTTTAACAAACAAATTATAGCAAGAAAATTTTATTTAAAAACTTGATCTTTAGAAGCTCTAAAAAATTATAAATGAGATTTTTATAAATAATTTTCTACACCTAGTTTATTTTTAAAGAAAAATAAAAAAATTGTCAAGTGTCTGCTAACTTCAGTCTCATAAAATATTTTTATTAATAAAATTTATTTACTTTCAGTTTTTAAGGATGCTTTTCCCCAGTGGCGTAAATTAGTATGGAGTCCAGACGGTTCAATTTTAGTACTTGGTTCAAGCAACGGTCAGCTGTCATTTTACAATTCATTAGGCAGCAATATTTTCAACGTTAATTCCAAATCAGAAGCACAAAATCCGGAAGTATTGGAAGCTGGCGACGCAATATCGTCGATGATTTTCAACAAACCTCGAGTATCCACAGAGCAATGGTCTTACGAATTCCAGACAGTTACTTATAGTGGCCTTCTTAAGTCTTACAATTTAGCAGTTCACGGTTACGAGTATAAGTATCAATTTTCATTTGGAAACTTCTATCGGAAAGGTGTCAACGCCTTTACGTATGACCACCAGCATAATATTTATATCGTCGCAGGCAACAATATCATCCAAAGCAGCTTATCTCCCGCATCGAACGTCGGTTTGACTTCTTGGAGACCTATAAACGACTATCCATTTTACAAATTGTCTTTTACCTTCGAAGAAAATTGCGGTTCACACACTTTGTCTCTCTGGAATTTAATACCAAAGTTCCGATCACCTGAAGAGCCTGTAATTTTTCGTATAAGTGTGTCACCCAATTGCAATTACGTAGCATGTTTGCACACAGACGGTGTGATATCTGTTTGGAATTTACCGAGTTTTCAGTTGAAACACCAATGGAAGCTTCACGAGCAGCCTAATTATAATGCAAGGAATCCAGTAACTGTTTCCAAGTACAGAAAATTGCCGGCTGGGTACACGGAATTTCATCCAATGGACATCGGATGGTGGTCAGACCACGCGATTATTATCGCCCGCTACTCAGGCGCTATTTCAGTTTGTTCAATAACTGATTTAAAAAATCTTCTAGGTGCGTGTCCGGAATTTTTGTTCGGCCAACCACAAATAGCTGAATTTTTACTGGGCAAAGGATTTCTGTGTCTCGATTGCGAGACGATAATAACCACTAAAAAGCGGATGCAAGAGTCTAGTCTAGATGGCCACAACTCAGAAGCTTCGGACAGCGAGAAAGAAGAAGACGAGCTGGAATCTTTGACGCTTATGAATTATTTAACAAATTTACTACGCAGTGCTTTGTACTCGATTACGGACATCGAAAGCTTCCAGCCGAAAAGAAAGAAGGCAAAAATTTTACAGAGAACTTACAGGATTCTTGGGCTCAAAAGTACCACGCCAGAAGAACTTTACTCGAGAAAAATAGATCTGGAGGAATACGATGAAGCTTTGGCGTTAGCTAAGTCTTATAACTTGGACACGGATCTGGTGTATCAGACTCAGTGGCGTAAATCTCAGTTTTCTATGAAAGCAATTACAGATCATTTGAGCAAGGTGAGAAAAAGATCATGGGTTTTGAACGAGTGTATTATGCGAGTTCCTGAAACTTTGGAAGCAGCAAGGGAGCTATTGAATTTTGGGTTAAAGGGCACTAATCTTGATGCATTTTTAGCTTTAGCAGAAGATGATGATGGCAAGTTTTGTACTGTTGACAGTGATGAAGATCCGGCTCAACTCAACGATGTGGCTGCTAATCTAAAGTACATGCAGACGGTGAATAAAAAACTTAAAGATGTTGACTTGTCGACTTGTACTCCGGCTCAAAAAGAGTTACTAAACCTCCGTAGAAGTCTTTTAAATCACTTGGATAAACTTAAGACTTATGAAATAATTATTTCAAGTCCCGATAAGTATAGAAAAGATTCCTATGAAAAATTCAGGCAGTTAACTATTCTAGAAAATGCAGTGAGGTTCGCCAGAGACTGCGATCACAATACAGTTGGACTTTTGTTCACATACCACGGACAGAAGCTTATTGCTTACTGGCTACCAATCATTAGCTACTTTCCTGAGACGTTGAACCCAAATGAATACAAAAAATTACTTCCTGAGTGCGATGATCAGGGCCAATTGTTCCTGCTTTACCAGAAAGAATTGCGCCCCAAGGATTGGTCAGAAAAACACGAGTTTGATTCACTTGTTGTGGATGATGATGATGACAATGAATGTGAAGTTATTTATGAAACAGATCCTGGTTTGTCTGCTTACAAGACCACCGAAATAACGATGGATTTGCTGCAAAAATGGTACCGAGCTCGTGCTTATGACATCGAGCGCAACAGTTGCATTGTAGAAAACGCTTTGGAACTTATTAAAATAGCACGGTCTCACAATATCACCGGCTTGGAAGAGTTTTTACTGCAGCTAGAAACTCTTGATGATTTAATTTACAAGGTACAATTAGATGGTATGCCTCTAGCACAATTTGAAAAGTTGTCTAACTTGGAAAAAATAAAACTACTCATGAGCACATCGACGGATAAAAATTTTATATCACATTTAAAAAATTACGTACTTCCTTTTATTTATCGCAAGCAAAAGTACCTTGGCGGTGATCTTGATAAAAAGTTACTCAAAAATTATTTAGTTGATATTAGTGAGGATGATTTGTCAATGGTGTTGATTTTGTTTAATAATCTGAAGAATGATGTTGATATTTTAAACATGATTGAAGATATTGTCGAGCTTGCTGTTGACTGTATTTATGCGTGTAACAATTTTAATATGTATCAACGCGCTAAGGAGATATTTAATACGCTTCCCAAGCCACAGGCGATGCAAGATGCTGCAGGAGCTGCTGGTTTGATGAATGACTTAGAACGTGAGATAGAGTGCCTGAAAATTTTGAATAAATATCATGTTCAATGCACTGTATGTTTTATTCACGAGAATAAAGACTCGGTAAGTGAAGTTAAAATGCTGCTCCATCAAATGAGTAGAAGTTTGAATGAATCTTCTACCCCGGCAAATCAAGAAGCTTGGACAGAAGTTTTGAACGACATGCTGGAGCTTCAAGAATTTATTTTTTCGTCTATTGATATCGAAGACTGCTTTGAAATTTGCGTTGACGCAAAACTCGCTTCTGGAATGAAAACTAATATACAAAATTGCAAGTCACTTATTGAAACTAAAAAGAGTGAACGTTCGTTGCTTAAAGTTTCGTATGACAAAACAGTTGAGTTAGTTTTGAAAGCTAGTAGAGAATATTTCAATAGTTCCAAGAGTTTGCAGGATTCAAATATGGAATTAGCGCGAGCTTGTATTCATTTAATTGAAGACGAAAACCCGTTGATCCAAGAAGAATATGATCTAATAAATTCTTTGCAAATTCTCAATGAATTTAATATAAATATTTTACCGCTGCAAGTGAGACTTTGTCAAGATAAATTGAAATTAATTGAAAGCTGCTTGACTAACAAACGTAACGCCTACAAACGACAACAACGTCTGCTTACTTTGGCGACTTATTTAAATATTGAAGGTAAAAATACCAGAAGCCGTGAAGGTAAAGTATTGGAACTAATTGCAGAAAAAGCTTATCAACAGCAGGATTATGATATTGCAACATCTACGTGCCAAAAGTTAATAGATAGTAGTTATTTTCCAGCTTGGAAAATAATTCAAACTCTTGGCTGCGCTGATGATTTCAATGATTTGAATTTTAGACAAAAATGCCTAGCTTTTACGCTTACTTACGGCCCCAGTGAGATTCTAGAAGATACTCTTCGGCAAATGCATCTGCTTGAAATTCAAGTACTAAATAAAAATCTTGAAGACTGGAAGTCAATAAATGAATTCAGTGACAATTATGAGGATAAAAATGATCAAAGTATCGATGAAGACGATGAATTTATCGACGCAATGACAACTCCTCAGGTTGAAGTTAAAGAATTTGTACCAAAAATTTTTGAAACCTCAACTGGCTTGGTAAAGAGTTCTGCGCAACTAGTCAAAAATTCTACACTGGGAATTTTACAAAACGTCGGGGCACAAGGTTTTTGGAAGACTGCATTGAGTTTTAGTAGAACCCAAGATGAAGATAGTTATTTAGCTGAGTCAAATTCTGACAATAATGATAAGCGAGATGAAATTCAGAGTTTCCCGGCTTTCTACGCCTCGCTATTCGATCAATGTACCTTAAGTCGTTGGGACTCGAGATACGAACGTTACTCAATGCCTGATATTGACAATACTAAGTTAAAAATGTGTCAAACGTTACTACGTATTACTAAATTGAGTGAGACTGCTAGTTATGGATTAGAAGTAAGTGACATCAGTCACTTGTTTGTGCAATTAGCGAGTCATATCATGTCAGATGATTGGCAACTAGGTATGGCGTATTTGTTAAGCTTGAATGATTGTACAGATGATTTTATTTCACACACTCAGGAAGTCTTTAGAAATTTACCGCAAACTAATTTATACATTCATTCTGCTATTTATTTTTATTCGATAAAATTGTACTGTAGATTACGACCGGATGCTGATGATTGTTTCACGTATGACCCGATGGAATTAATGAGAATGATGGCCAATGAAGCAAGGGACGAAGCTGATGACTTGAAAATAGCTCTAGTTTATTGGTGTCTGCAATTGACTCGCGAAACTCATGATGAAGTACCTGAAGTAGAAAAAATAGAGGTGCAGTCAGATCCAGTTTCAAATCCAGTGGATGCTAATTCCGTTGAAAAGCCTTCGGATGGTGAGAAGGAGACAACAAATTTATATGAAAATGAAGCATTTAAAATGGCAAGTGCTGATGGAGACGGATGGGATGACAACTGGAGTGATTTTTCAGATTCAGAATTCAAAGAAAAAGGTGGAAGCAAAGAAGCTTCAGATAATTTAATTGGCTCGGATAATTTAGAATTCAATTCATCTGTCGAACAAGCTGCTGATAGTGAGGTTTTGTCATTGGACACTTTTGATGAAACTCAGACTGACACTGCTGATGATACAACGGAAGAGCAACGTTACGCAGAATTTGAACGTTTGTATTCTCGGATGGAAACTAAAGAAGACTATCTCGAGTTGAAAGAAATAATTAATTCGTGGCCTGTATTTACGAATCCAGACCTCACGAGTGTTGATAAACATCCCACACTAAGGATGATCGGTGTCAGCTTGTTTATAGGCCAAAAAGATAATTTTAAATTCAAAGCTCCTAGTCTGCAAGAGTACAAAGAACTGCTGAAAACTCGGCCAGTTGATCCAGAAGTTTATGTGGCATTTATTAAAAAATTTGAGGGGAAATTTAACGTTCAAGATAAAATTTATTTAAGATTGTGTGCCAATGATCCATCTCTGCATCGAGAAGCTATTGATATAGTAAAAAAAGAGAGAGACGTAGAATTGTCGGTGCCTATATTGGAAGAAATATTTTTTAAAAATTTAACAGCATTGTTGCCTCCTACTCATCCAGCTTATAATAAAATACTTGAGGAAATGTTTGCAAATCATCCAATTACAGAGATAGAACCTCATATACGTATTTTAATTGATAGACTTACCGAACAGAAGCATGTGACATATGCTGTTGCTTTGTGGAATCAACTTAAAGCTGTGCCAGCGCCTATCTAAAGCTTTTTAATTTGTTTTTAAATATTTATAAATGCAAATAAATTATTTTATTTTTATCTTTAATAATGAATTATTTTTCTGAAAATTTTAATTAAAATTATTATTTTTTTTTTAATTGTAAATATGCTGTAAAAATAAATAAAATTTATACGACTTAATTTAAATTTAAATATTAAATTATTTATTAATAAAATGTAACAATATATTTTTAATTTCTGAAAAAGTGATTTATTCCAACTCAAAAATTATAAAAGTCAATCAACAACTAAGTAAATTATTTTTAAGTATAAAATTTAAGTATGAATGTTTTGCTGTAAATAAAATTTTAGGAGCATAAAACAATTAAAAAAAAAAAAAAAAAAAAAAAAAACAAACACATGCATGTAAAAAAAAAAAATTTATTATTTATAAAAAATTTTTTACTACTCAATTTTTCAATTGTAAAAAAAAATTTCAATTATTTAATGATGAATAAATAAAAAAAATTAAAATCCTCGACGGAGATCCGAACCTGAGTTGTGAGATCCAAATTCTCGCGCTCTACCCGACTAGCCACGACGCTCATAGATATCCAAATCATGATTGTATATATAAACTGCATTTGGGGAGTTTAATTAATAACTATCCATAATATTATTTGGCGTAAAAACTTAATTATTTATATAAATTATTACTAATTATTAACTAAAAATCAACTGCATTGATGTATAGAAAACAATAGAGAAAAAAAACATAAATCAGCGAGAAAGTAATTTGAACGCAAAAAATTTTCCCGGCAAGGAACTTTTTATAATGTAGTGTATACAATCTATAATATGATAAGCCTGTACTATACATATTTTTTCGCACGCATGCTATGCCATCTCTGCTAACATCCCTCGGCGTGGAACTATTCTGTTTCATTTATTAACACAGCAGTGCATCCGCCTTTTTAAAAATAATATTTATCGTATAAAATTTGCGAAAATTAAATTTTTCCAATTAAAAAAAAGTTCTCATTTAGATTTTTTTATTTTTATGGTAAGTATTTTTGCAAGTAAAAAAATAAATATACAAGCTATCTATAAAAATGTAAATAAAAAATATCTTACTTTTAGGTTAAACACTAATTTTCAATTGACATGGGGAAGGCAGCGTAAGGAGCAGTGTGTTAAATAAATGGTTAGAAAGAATCTTGTGTTTTAATTAAATATAAACTGTAGTTTAATTTTTGGTAAAAAAATGTTAACGAGCGTGATGATGTTGAGACAGTACAGTATTACAAAAAATTTAACAGAAGGTATTTACATAAAGTCTCTGATGAGGAGTTGTTTTTCAACAACTGCTGAAAGTGTCGAAGATGGTAGTTTTAAAAATAAAAAATTAAATAGTGCTATGAGAGCTTATCTAGAACGAGCTGCAGAATACGATAAATTCATAAAAAAAGAAGATCAAGATTATCAAATAGGTAAAAGGCACTTGGCAAACATGATGGGTGAAAATCCTGAAACATTCAATCAAGATGCTGTCAACAGATCAATTCAGTATCTATTTCCATCTGGTTTATATGAACCAAAAGCTCGACCAATAATGGAAGAAGCTAGTAAAATTTTTCCACCAAAAAAAGCTGCTCAGTTTGATGAAGAAGGTAGGCCATTCCATTCACTTTTCTATACGTTGAAACCTAATTTCTACTCTGTGCTCTACGATATTGTTGAACAAATGGAATATCTTAATAAATTTGAAGATGAACAGATACTAAAAGGTATTTTACCAAATGAAGGAAATCGAGCAAATTTGGTAGGATCTGACTGGTTGTCCAGAAAAGAATTTGAAAAACTTTTTTTGGAGCCTGTAAGTGACAGCGACTACGAAGCGTTGGTAACTTCACTTCAAAGATTGGAAGGGCATCCTTGGTCAGAAACGGTTAAAGATTTCATCATGAAGTTCAGGAAACAAAAACATATACAAACAAGAGGATTAATAATTCCACCTTTGGAGTATGATGAAAAAGGAAGACCATTTATTTTAGTAACACAATGTATGCGACACACATGCCGTGGAACAGTCAAAATTTTAGGAAATGGTTCTGGAAAAATAAAAATTAACGGCAAGGCCATCGATTATTTCACAAACATTCAAAGCCGAGAACAAGTTATATTTCCATTAATTTTTACGGGAATGGATAAGGATGTTGACGTCGAAGCTAATGTTGAAGGTGGAGGATTTTCTGGTCAAGCTGGTGCAATTCGTTGGGGAATTGCTTGGGGCTTACGAAACTTTGTAGACAAGGACATGGTAGAAAAAATGAGAATTGCTGGTCTGTTGACTAGGGATTGGCGAATAAAAGAACGAAAGAAGCCAGGTCAAGAAGGTGCGAGAAGAAAATTCACTTGGAAAAAGCGTTAATTTATAATTAAAAATAATTTACTTAGTTGTTGATTGACTTTTATAATTTTTGAGTTGAAATAAATCACTTTTTCAGAAATTAAAAATATATTGTTACATTTTATTAATAAATAATTTAATATTTAAATTTAAATTAAGTCGTATAAATTTTATTTATTTTTACAGCATATTTACAATTAAAAAAATAATAATAATTTTAATTAAAATTTTCAGAAAAATAATTCATTATTAAAGATAAAAATAAAATAATTTATTTGCATTTATAAATATTTAAAAACAAATTAAAAAGCTTTAGATAGGCGCTGGCACAGCTTTAAGTTGATTCCACAAAGCAACAGCATATGTCACATGCTTCTGTTCGGTAAGTCTATCAATTAAAATACGTATATGAGGTTCTATCTCTGTAATTGGATGATTTGCAAACATTTCCTCAAGTATTTTATTATAAGCTGGATGAGTAGGAGGCAACAATGCTGTTAAATTTTTAAAAAATATTTCTTCCAATATAGGCACCGACAATTCTACGTCTCTCTCTTTTTTTACTATATCAATAGCTTCTCGATGCAGAGATGGATCATTGGCACACAATCTTAAATAAATTTTATCTTGAACGTTAAATTTCCCCTCAAATTTTTTAATAAATGCCACATAGACTTCCGGATCAACTGGCCGAATCTTCAGCAGTTCTTTGTACTCTTGCAGACTAGGAGCTTTGAATTTAAAATTATCTTTTTGGCCTATAAACAAGCTGACACCGATCATACGAATTAATTATTTCTTTCAACTCGACATAGTCTTCTTTAGTTTCCATCCGAGAATACAAATGTTCAAATTCTGCGTAACGTTGCTCTTCCGTTATATCATCAGCAGTGACAGTCTGAGTTTCATCAAAAGTGTCCAATAACAAAACCTCACTATCAGCAGCTTGTTCGACAGATGAGTTGAATTCTAAATTATTCGAGCCAATTAAATTATCTGAAGCTTCTTTGCTTCCACCTTTTTCTTTGAATTCTGAATCTGAAAAATCACTCCAGTTGTCATCCCATCCGTCTCCATCAGCACTTGCCATTTTAAATGCTTCATTTTCATATAAATTTGTTGTCTCCTTCTCACCATCCGAAGGCTTTTCAACGGAATTAGCATCCACTGGATTTGAAACTGGATCTGACTGCACCTCTATTTTTTCTACTTCAGGTACTTCATCATGAGTTTCACGAGTCAATTGCAGACACCAATAAACTAGAGCTATTTTCAAGTCATCAGCTTCGTCCCTTGCTTCATTGGCCATCATTCTCATTAATTCCATCGGGTCATACGTGAAACAATCATCAGCATCCGGTCGTAATCTACAGTACAATTTTATCGAGTAAAAATAAATGAATAAAACTCGTCTCAAATAATATTTTTCTTATTATTAACCGTGTCAAATATAATTGCTCTTTTTTAATTATCAGGAAATATTTTAATAATTTAAAAAATATGAAATTGAAATGATAGCAAAGTTGCAGACATTTAACAATTTTTTATATTTTTTTTATTAATTAAATTAGAACTAAAAAAATATTGTAAAAAATTCCATGCATTATTTTTTAAATTTTCTACATGTGGAATTTTTAAAAAAAATTTTTTGTTATAAATTTTTCAATAAGAAGAATTCTAAAAATTTTCAGGTGTCTGCTACTTTATTTTCAAGAAATTGAAAAATTAAAATATCAAATTAATCTGTTGTTAAAATTTTAAAAATACCCGGTAAAAATCAAATTATTTTTAGTTATCGCCTGCAGGTAATACAACTGAATATAAAAATAAAAATGACTCACGTAGTAATTGAAAATCATTTCCGGTTGTAAGAACTAGAGGCGTCAGCAGGCGTCAATCGCAATTTATCTACCACACGCCATTTTGTCTTTGTCGTTTGTCGACGGTTTGTAGACACAACCTGAGCATACAGTGTATTATTGTAGAAGTTTATTATTTTCTTACCCCAAAAATCAGTTATTAAAACAAAAATAACGTGAAGAAATATAAAAAAATGAGTTACGGTCGTCCTCCTCCCCGTATTGACGGGATGGTGTCTTTGAAAGTTGATAATTTAACTTACAGAACAACGCCGGAGGATTTGCGCCGTGTGTTCGAGAGATGCGGAGAAGTTGGTGATATTTATATTCCCCGAGACCGATTTACCCGCGAAAGCCGTGGGTTCGCATTTGTCAGGTAAACTTTGGAGTATTTATTTTTTAATTATCATACCTATCACCTTAGTTATATTTTTTAATAGTTGATAACAATCCATAGCACGCATATTTTCGCAGTTACAAGCTGTGACGTCATCAAGTCCCGTTTCTATTTGAATTGCCGGCATTTGGAGTGTGACTAATTCAGCAAGATAATTAATTGAGTTTTATAATTTATTAGATTTTATGACAAACGTGATGCTGAAGACGCACTCGACGCAATGGATGGACGTCTTCTAGATGGAAGGGAACTTCGTGTACAGATGGCTCGTTACGGAAGGCCAACTTCACCTCACCGGAGCCGTGGAAGTCGCCGCCGAGGAAGGTAAGTCGCTTTTTATTTAAATGATTCTTTAAATTAAACTGGATAAAAAAATTATTCATCATTTAATTTGTTTTGTTTTTGTAGATCACGTAGTCGCAGCCGGGATCGCCGACGGTCTCGTTCAAGATCCAAGTCTAGGTCACGAAGCCGTGACCGTGACCGCAGACGTTCCTACAGCCGTAGTCATAGTCGTTCCCGCTCGGATAGCAAAAGCTCCCGAGGTAAATCTCGCTCACACAGTAAATCTGCCGAAAGAGAGAATAGCCGATCTAAGTCTAGGTAATTTTTATTGATAAATTTCGATAATTTTTATCTTGATTAGTTTAAATTGACAATTGTAGATAAATTTCAACTGTTAATCAGTGAAAGGCATTTTTGATGTGAAAAGATGACAGAACAATATGCAAACGCTTGCTATTAATATCATGAATATTTAACGAAGTTTCATTTTTTAAAGGTTACAAAATTCAATGTTACGATCAATGTATAACTTGTCCTAGTTTTGTTGGTCAATTCTTAAGAAAGTTATGAAAAAAATATTTTTTTGTTTGTAATCATTTTCATGAGTACCTACTTAGAAAATATTCCATAGAGAAATAAAATTTTTTTTTCTTGATTTTTGTATTTACTTTAAAATAATTTATAATTTCAAAACTTAAAAAAATATCTTACGGTATTTGAATTTTTTATGAATTTAGTTACTATGGTGAAAAAATTAAATTTTCTCAAAAAATCCATTATCTTAAAATTTATAGTTCACAAATTATAATTATTAATTCATTGGAGTTAACTTTTGTTTTTTTTTTTTTTTTTTTTAATTAAAATAAAATTGCAAGTGTCAATAACTAGGTCTTTTACCTTAACTTTTTTAATTTAATTAAAAAATTGATTGTAATTTGTATGATTTCAGGGACTGAACTGGCTAATGGTGTATGAAAGTACAACAAAATGAGATGCACGTGTTCCGAGTTTGCAATGCAGTTTATTCTGACATTGAAAAAATAAAAAAAGGTATAATAAATACTCTAAATACCTAAATCACACTAGCACATTCGCATCTTTTGATCATTTTCGTATTAATCATTTCGACGCACTTCTTTGGGATTTTAATAATAAATGAATTATAAATCCAAATTAATTTTATAATATAAACATAAATATAATACTAGAACTACAATTTATATTTAACAGATTTAAAAAAAAAAAAAAAAACTATTTCCAAGTCAATTTTTCTAATCTATTCCTTAATCGCGTTGGAATTTTTTTTTTATATTTCTAAATAGTGTGTTATAAGTTACTTCGTATTTATCTCGCAAGCTTTATTATCAATTATTTTACTTATCAATTAAAGTTGAATATATATTAAACAATGTTAGTTTTTGTATAAAAACAAAAAGAAAAAAAATCAATACAACTATTTCAACACCAATATCTCTAACTAACTGTTATCTGTTTTTTTTTTCTTTTTTTACGTTATGTATTTTTGTTTAACGCGAATCAAATAAACTAACTCCCCTCGGGTATTCTCTTGTTGACTAAATGTTTGTGGACACTTGAAGTCGTCACGTTTAGTAAAATAAATTGTCCAAAACTAATAATTGACATAGACAAAATCTAACTGATTAATTAAATGAATTAAACTTATCGTATTTATTTAATATACTTAACTTGATAACAATAGAATTTTATTGTGTAGATTTTTGTTTTGAAAATTTTTTTCTTTATTCAAATAATTTCTTAGACGATAAGTTTTCCATTTTACTGTAATTATCACTTACAGATTTATTTATGTAACGTTTGCCATTTGTAATAAACTATATTGAAGATAAAAAAAACAATAATTCTGAATACAAACACAGTTTAGAGAATTAAATTAATGTGCATGATGAATGTAATTATTTACGCCAGTGAGTTAATTTTTATTTTTTTTTAATTTCGTAATCAAAATCCGTATCGTATTAACGCCCACCCGTTTACAAATGAATAATTTTAAGTAAATAATATTAGTAACAATAATAATAATAATAATAATAATATTGATAAATAAAATTAATTAGTACCCTTGAAAACATCTGGATGCAGCAAAGTAAAAGCATATGACTAAGTTGTGATTTTATGGTGCCACAGGCGGTGGAAAGGCGTGGAGTGGAGTGTCGAGTGATGGGGGTAGCTGAGAGTATGCAGTAAGCCGAACTGTAAGCGGGGCTGTATGCTGAGTTTGCTGTATGCAGAGTTTGCGAGCTAAGCGGTTGCCGGTGTCTGGTGATAACGATGAGGATGGCGATGACGATGACGAAGCTCGAGGTTCGCGGTGAAAGTGAAAGGCGCTAGCAGGGTTCCCGTTACATTAAGCAATAGTGAGTCTGAATGAAAGAACGCGCTTGCTCTCTTGTGTTATTACACGGGGGGCTTAGAGCGCTTTAATTTTAGGATCACGTACGAGAGAAATAAAGTTATTATGACGAAGGGGATGACGATGAAAGCAAGAAACCGAGCCTACAGGTCTATATTTAATAGCCAACGATTACTGATGTCGCAGTCGAGTTGCTGACATACACGAGACACTTTTTCCTGATCCTTGTCATCAGTCAGACTTGCTGTTCTGGATCTTTATAATCCTCCTCAGGACAGCATTCTCTTGATGAATGAGGGAGTATTATTGACGATCCCTTTAACGCTGATTCCCGAGTCTTCAGGTTCGGATTCTTAGCTGTTATACGCCATCCATCATCCACCTCAACGTAATGCCGTCACTGTTAAACCGTGAGTCTTTTATCTCAACTATTCGGTTCAGTATTGTTTCTATTTTATTTTTATTTTTTTTTTTGTATTATTTAAACATTTTTTTTTTTTATCATGATTATAATAATATCTTATTATTATTTTGTTTACGCGCGTACAAAAATTGAGATGCTTAATTTTTTATTTTAACTTTTTCCTTAGTAAGATTGTATACTACGGGATTTTTTGTATATTTGCTACTTTTATTAATACTTTATTTTCAGCATTAATAATCCAATGATTGATGTAAGTATTTTTTTTTTTTTTACTTAGACGCTACACGGAAAAAACAAGATGACACTGCATATCATCCCAGATAATACTCAGTGATATCTGAGGTGAAAAGAAATTTCAGATTGTAGCTATAATCCAGATTATACTGCGTGATAGCTGGATTATACTAGCTACTATTTGAATTTTTTTCACTCAGTATAATCTGGGATGATATCCAGTGTCATCTTCTTTCCGTGTAGATCATTAATTTTTATTTTTCTTTAATTTTATTTATTAATTTTAATATATCTAGTAAATTAATAATTGACAATCATTCGTAATATAAATAAATTTTACTATTAAATCAATGACAGTTTTATTAATTTATTAATTTCATTTGCTACCTATCTACAAATATATATAATCTTTGTACTTTATTTAACCCTATATAAAAATTATCATTTGTCATAAAATTGTTACGCATTTTTTAACAATTGAGTAAAAATCTATAGTATTAATAATTAATTTCTTTCTTTGTATACAAACTCGTAATCAATATCCTTCGTATTGATTTTATTCTTAAAGACTATTATGTATTGGCAATTGTGAGTTATTAGTTATTTAAAAACTAATATTTCAATTTTTCAAAATAAAATATTAGAAAAAAAGAAATAGTTAAAATTGTTATTAGTGATTAAAAGATTCGCAATCTCAATTCCTTATTTAAATTATTAAGGCAACAATTATATTATTCAATGCTATACTAATCACTTATAGCTTTTGATCATTAGTTTTAGTAATCAAATAAGGCTTCAACGTGCGTCCAATTATGTACATTATAATACCAATAATATGTCCGACTAGGTAAATGCTCTTGTAATAAATATAATTATTCTCAAAAGTGAGCAATTGGAAGCCAAACGAGAGGTAAGCCATGCAGAAGAATCTCATAAACCACATCAGACACCACCATCTTGTTCTTGCCTAGAAAAATAAAACAAAATAATTATTTATAAGCTAATTAATACTAACAAATATGATGTTAAGATAAAATAATAGTCTTACCGAGCTGCCTTCCTCAGCTTGATTGTAAAATTTAACATACAAATCTTCAAGGGGAAGGTACGTAATAACAGAAAATATTCCGACATAATACCCAAACGCATATCCGTGCCAAATTGTTGAAACGAAGAATGTCGCCGGTATTCGTAAATTTTTCCATGGAAATACTTTGTATACATATGTAGCCATCCAATACTGAACAGTAATATTCCAACGCTTCATGGCCGTTCTTACAAGATAACTTTTTTCAACACCCCACCAATCAATGTTAAACACTGTCTCAAAGTCCATTTTTTCATCTTTTATTTTCTCTGGATTCAAGGCGCTGCAAAAAAAAAAAAGTTAATTAATCTCGGTTGTAAACATAATATAAAAGAGTGCAATCAATAAGCTCGTGTTAAAAATAACTAGAACAGCGTTTTATGTTATATCTATATACATTTGCTCAGCTGCTTTGTAGTCCTTCGGACCGAGACCAGGTTGAGGTTGTGAACAAATAGGATAGACTCCTAAACCAGCCATCTGACACACACACTCAGAAAACATCATTCCTACATACAATCTTGTACGGAAAGTTAAAAATGCTGGAATAATGAAGGATAGTCGGTACCAAAATGACCTTTGTTGAAATTCTTCTGTTAATACATACTAAAAAAGAAAAAAAAAAAAATCATTGTACTTATATAGTAATAGAGAAAATTTCAGCTGAAACAAAACAATTAATATTATAAAAAAAAAATTTTTTTTCAATTTGCACTTATAAATTATTAAAATTTCTACATGTAAAATTTTTTTGCATTATAATTTAATTTTTATAAAAATTTTTAAAAATACTTCAAAAAATATTTGCCTTTTAATTTTTATACTCTACAAATATTTAATTTATAAATTTCAATAAAAAAAATTTTGAAATGTTTGATACTTTCTGTATAATTATAAATTAAAATATATCTGTTTAAATACTTACAAAATTGGGCCATATATTACTGGTGAATAAAAATAATACAGCTGATACACCTATTAATTTTATTTTGTACAATGTTGGTTCCCAACATTCAATATAGTCAGAAAACTTTCTATTTATACAATCCCAGTACGTCCTGTATCTATAAAAAGGACCTAAAACATTAGAAAACTTTTACTCGTATGAACTTTTTTATTTTTAAAGTAAACATAAACTCTTTTTAGTAAGTATCAATACCTGTTAAAATACCCATATAACTCCAGCCATAATGAACAACATCTAAAAAGGTAATATTTTTCATAGCTTTGTAGCATTGGACATCTGGATTGTTTTTAAAATCTTCCAGCGCTGAATTCAATTCAAAGCCCATACCTCCATACTTCAACGTCATCAACATGAGTATTAAATTAGTGTGTGTCGAAATCTCCGGTAGTCCAAATAAGTGAGTTAATCTTGATATTATCAAGAGATAAAAAAATGAAAAGAAAAACGATGCCGTATGTCTAATCCTGTAGAAATTAAAAATGAAATTATAGATTTTAAATTAGATGTTATATAAACATAAATATAAGTATCATATCATTAAATCTAATGAATAGAATTTTTAATAATTACCTAGGAGCTAATTGCGAAAGAATCACAGCACATACGATAGTCATAGCTATCGGGTGAAGAATATCCCATCCAGAAACTATGAGTGATACAAAAAATCCAACTCCAGTACTCACCCATTGTTTATTGAATGGATTTTTTATAGTACGAAAATAATTACCAAATCCTATAAGTCCAAGTAACAGACCGACATAAATAATATCATCGATTATCATGGTGCGGCAAATATAATATAAATATCACACTGATTGGATTAAGTCCAGTGAAAGACTGAATTGTCTGCACTGCGTTATCATACACCCTACTACCCGTATCAGACTTTTTTTTTTTTATTTAAATACCCGTTGTTCACTTCTACTTAGTTTTACATTTCTTGCTTTTTAATTTTCGTTGTTTATTCAAATGTGGTTGTATAATCAGTAACCACTATGACAATAAATGGACAATTTACATATTCAACAACTGAGCTATTTGTATATATTTGAGCAAATATAGATGTATATATACAAAAAAATATAAAATTCAATAACTAACTAGTGAGCCACATATGAACTTTGAACACTTTTAAATAATCTGTTTATGTTGTGACTTTATTTTTTTCTTAGTCTACTTACGTGGCTATGTAAATTTATACCTTAAAATTATGTCTATATTTATACATTTTACGCAGACTACTGACGATGACATAAATAGCTGCTATTGAAAGTGCTGCCTCTGGTGATTCACCGAGTAATTAAAATTTTGTTTTCATTTAAAACCGGCGTAAATAAAAAGTAAAACGTTAAACTTTAATTTATTTGTTGTCTGGTATATACATATGTAAATATTTTAAAGATTTAATTTGGATTTATATCTGTTAATCTATGGCTAGAGAAATCATTACTCTGCAACTAGGACATTATTCTAATTATGTCGGGGCTCATTGGTGGAACTTACAGGTTAGTTTTTATTTATAATAATTTCATTGTTTATATTCATACATAATTATTGCAATTATATATATGTTTTTTTATTTTTAAGGAATCTGGATTTTCGTATGACCCGAGTAAACCAAGTGAAATAAATCATGATGTTTTGTATCGTGAAGGAGAAACTATAAGGGTATAATTTTTTTTATCAAAATTAATCGATTTTTAATTTACTTTTATAATAATTAATGATACTGAAACCCGCAGACATTTGAAAGGTTTTTTTTATTTATTTTATTACAAATCAATTATAAACAAAAAATATTTTTCAAAAATTTGCACTTGTAATTCATGAAAATAAAATTAGAAGACATCTGACAATTTTTAGGATTTTTCTGTTAAAAAAAATTGTTACAAAAAAAAAAAAAAAAGGATAAATTTCACATGTAAAAGATTTTAAAAACTACAAGTGCAATTTTTTACAAGTATTTATTTAATAATAATTTTATTGGTGACCAAAATCAAAAAATTTTTTAATGACCATTGGTTTCAGTATCATTTATAATTCTTTAAAAATTTTTTATAATAAATTTAGTTCTTATAAAAATCCAAGAAAATGAAAGATGTCTTTTAATTTCAATATCATAACAATTAAAATAACATAATAGAAAAAAATATTAAACACCTGCAAAATTATTTGTCAATCTAACAAAAATTAAATAATTGTTATAATTAATAAAATATAAATAATTTAAAAATAAAAACATGCATATTTAGAAAATTAAACATTCTGTAGGTGTATTTTTTCAAACTTTTAAAAATTATTAATTCATTTATTTATAATTTAAAAAATATTTTGTTCTTAAATTCACAACCATTATAAAATTAAAGACCCCATTACTGAGACTTTCTTTGATTTTCGTACTTATTCAATTAATGAAATGATTAATTTCAATAATGAATATATTATTTCCAATCTTTAAGACCTTTAGATCAAAAAAATTTTTATTCCAAGAAGAATATTTTTTCATTGAAAGAAAAAGTGCCATTAATAGGGGTTAAAGGTGCCACTAATGGGGTCTTTTACCTTATATTTTTGTGTTGATAAAAAAAAAAAAAATTGAGGTATCAAACATAAAAATAAAAAAATGCTTGTTTTTTTAAATGAAAATGTTTTCTACTTTCTTTGCTATTTATAAGTATTTTCTTAAAGTACGATAGGACTAATTATAATTATCTAATATTTTTAGAAAGAAGTAACATTTACACCACGACTCTTAGCTGTGGACTTGAAAGGGTCTCTAGGATATTTGAATGAACGAGGATCTCTATACGACGATCCGAAGAATGTTCAAGATCATACATGTCTATGGGATGATAGCAAAGTAGAAGTCACTGCAGAAGAGCCTGTTCCAGTTGCTCCATTTGTTCAGAGTCTTCAGAATGGCTCAGAACAGCAAAATGAATCAGATGATAAGTTTGATCTTGAGAACATCAAAACTTGGACTGATTATTTGACTCCGCGGTTTCATCCAAGGACTATTAATGTTATTAAGGATTATAATCATGAGTGTACTAAGAAACCTTTTGATGTATTTAATTATGGGTATAATTTATGGAAAGAAGAACAATATACTGATGACTTTTCTGATAGAATAAGACAGTATGCTGAAGAATGTGATTCTCTGCAAGGATTTCAGGTAAATTCATAAATTTTATTGATGCTCAATAACTACAACAATTTTATCATGTATGTTAATTATATTTTTGTATTTTATTGACTATCTTTATCAATAAAAATAAATAATTTTCAGGTATTAATGGATTCAACTGATGGATTCAGTGGGCTTGGATCAGCTTGTATTGAATATTTACAAGAAGAATACGGAAAAAGTATTTTAGCTTTTCCTTTAATCGAAAGTGGCTCCAATGAAATGTCAGCAGCGAGTTTGATAAAAGTAGTAAATATCGCACTGTGCTGGGAAAAACTTGGTGAACATGCATCCGTATTCAGTCCTCTGTCTTGTGGAGAACAAGGATGGCCTTGTCCAGGCTTGCCCCGTAAATTCGACAACCTAACATACGACCTGGACCAGAAATACCACACAAGCGCGATACTTGCAACTGCACTAGATACTTTGAGTATCCGATACCGTCACAAAGAGTTCAGTATGTCAGATTTATCAGACTTGTGCGCAGATTTAAATAAACTAGGACGCAAAGCCGCGGCTACGAGTCTCAATTTACCATTTCCGATGACCGTTAAAAAAGATTTGATTGACGTGTTGGACGACCTAGAAGGACCACTTTGGACAAGTCTTTCACCCAGTTGTAAAATATTTCCAGATAAAAGTATGCACAGCCTGGCTCTTCGTGGTGTTAATGAAGCACGCCTCAAGAGACCACTTGCTGAAGCTAAAAAACAAATGGAGAAACCAGCTTATCGGTGCTCAACTGTCCACGAAATGATGACTATGTATCTTGCGTACTCTTGTCATACTTCTGCTTGTTATTTGACGACTGTTGAAGCACCTCTTAAAGTCTCTAAGCCATTCCCAAGGATTTTTAATAACAATATCCATGCAAATGGCGATATCGCTGACTGGCCTGTTGGTCAAGGTAATATTATATATTTTATCATCAACGATCGGTATTATTTATTATATATAATTTTTTTTTATCATATTACAGATGTTAAATCTGTTCCTGTGCTCGCTGGGCTCCACAGTGGCTCTGGATTAGCGTTTATGTTCAATTCATTGCACACCCAAGCTTCAAGAGTCAAAAGTATCAGGAGATTTCATATGTTTGAAGATACTGGTCTTGAACAGGATGATTTTATTCATTGCTTGGATTCTTTACTTGATAGTAAAGAATCTTATGAAGATCATTTTCTTTAATTTATTATATTACTAAATTTTAATATTTTTATAATATAATTTTTTTATTCATTTTACATTTTATTACAAGTCATTTATTTCTGTTACTTATAACATATTTTTATCAATACATCTAAAAATATTCATTATATGTAGCTAAGTAATTCATAATTTTTACGCAAATTTTTTTTTATTTTTTTTAAACTCACAACAAATTCATTAAAAAACTGTCAGTTTTTTGAAAGTTTTTTTGAAAGAAACTGGTACAGAACTGCAGAGAGTGTATGCAATCAATGTTAAATATTCAATTTCTAAGGGGGAGCACCACTGTGACGATCGAAAAAAAGACGTGATTTTCGGGAATTTTTTTGACAAGGAAAATAAACGAATTTGGGAATCGGGTTTTTTTTTTTATTTTATTAAGGGTACATTAAAGATTATTACACTAAATTTTTATTAAAAAATATTTAATTATTACAAAGTTATTAACAATCTCGTCGAGCACTGGAGAAAATTTCCTCCCTCCACGGTCGGTTCGACAATTCAAAAACAGATCATCTGAAAGTAAAAACCCAAATTGCTTTTTAATCAGTAAGGATGTAGTTATCGTTGCACGTACGGAATTTTGAAAATTTTAATTTAAAAAAAAATGGCGACTAATTGAAAATTTTCTCACTATTCT